TTTCTGCTCTAATCTTTATTAATTCTTTTCTCCTGATGCGTTTAGACTTTGTTTGCTGTTCTTTCTCCAGCTTCTTTAGGTATTAGCTTGTATATTTGAGACCTTTCTTGTTTCCTGAGAAAGGCTTGTATTGCTGTATACTTCCCTCTTAGGACCACCTTTGCTATATCCCAAAGTTGTGTTTCCATTAATTTTTTAAAATTCTTCTTTAATTTCTTGGTTGACCCATTCATTATTTAGTAGATGCTTTTTAACCTCCACGTATTTGATTTCCTTCCAAATTTCCTCTTGTCATTGAGTTCAAGTTTCAAAGCATTGTAGTCTGAAAATATGCAGGGAATAATACCAGTCTTTTGGTTCTGGCTGAGACTTGATTTGTGACCCAGTATGTGATCTCTTGTGGAGAATGTTCCATGTGCACTTGAGAAGAATGTGTATTCTGTTACTTTGGGATGGACTGTTCTGAATATATCTGTGAAGTCCATCTGGTCCAGTGTGTCATTCAAAGCCCTTGTTTCCTTGTTGATCTTCTGCTTATATGATGTGCCCATTGCTGTGAGTGGGGTATTAAAGTCCCCTACTATCACTATATTATTATCAATGTGTTTCTTTAATTTTGTTACTAATTCGTTTGTATAATTGGCTGCTCCCATGTTAGGGGCATATATATGTGCAATTATTAGCTCTTCTTGTTGGATAGACCTTTTAATTATTGTATAGTGTCTATCCTCATTTCCTATTACCTTCCTTGGTTTAGAATCTAATTTGTCTGTTATAAGGATTCCTATCCCAGCTTTCTTTTGATGTCTATTAGTGTGATAAATGGTTTTCTGCCCTCTCACTTTCCATCTGGAGCTGTCTTTGGGTCTAAATTGAGTCTTTTATAGATAGCATATCAATGGGTCTTGCTTTTTTATCCAATCTGATACCCTGTGTCTTTTGTTTGGGGCATTTAGCTCATTTACATTCAGAGTAACTATGGACAGATATGAATTTAGTGCCTTTGTGTTATATAAGTGAAGTCATTCTTTCTGTATATTGTCTCTGTTCTTTTCTGGTTTGTAACTTTTGGATTCTCTCTTCACTTAAAGGGTCCCCTTTAAAATTTCTTGTAGGGCTGGTTTAGTGATCACAAATTCTTTTCGTTTCTGTTTGTCCTGGAAGCTCTTTATCTTTCCTTCTATTCTGAATAATAACCTTACTGGATACAGTATTCTTGGCTGCATATTTTTCTCATTTAGCACCCTGAATATATCATGACAGTCCTTTCTGGCCTGCCAGGTCTCTGTGGATAGGTCTGCTGCTAGGCTTATGTTTCTACCATTGTAGGGTAAGGACCTCTTGTCTGGAGCTGCTTTCAGGGTTTTCTCTTTGTCTCTAAGACTTGTAAGTTTTACTATTAGATGATGGGGTGTTAACTTGTTTTTATTGATTTTTACAGGGGGGGGGCTTCTCTGTGCCTCCTGGATTTTGATGCCTGTTTCCTTCCCCAAATTAGAAAAGTTCTCTGCTATAATTTACTCCTATATACTTTCTGCCCCCCCCCCTTTCTCCTTCTGGGATCCTAATTATTCTAATATTGTTTTGCTTCATAGTATCTCTTCACTCTCGAATTCTCCCCTTGTGATCCAGTAGTTGTTTATCTCTCTTTTTCTTGGTTTCTTTATTCTCCATCATTTTGTTTTCTGTATCCCACATTCTCTCTTCTGCCTCATTTATCCTAGCAGTTAGAGCCTCCATTTTTTATTGCATCTTATTAATAGTATCATTAGTATCTTTATAATAATTATTCTGAATTCTGGCTCTTATATCTTACTTACATCCATATTAATTGGGTCCCTGTCAGTCAGTACTGCTTCTTGTTCTCTTTTTTGGGGTGAGTTTTTCCATCTTGGCATTCTGTCCAGAGAAGCATAGATGAACAAGAGAACAAAATACTAAAATAGTCACAATGACCCCAGAGAAATATACACTGAACAAATCAGAGGAGACCAGAAATGGAAAAGAAAAAAGAGAGAGGGAGTGAATATAATCAGACAAGTGAACAGAACAGAGCAATACACTAGATCCCAGGTATACTTTGGTCTGTTTGTTAGAAGAAACTAGATCTCAAAATTGTAAAGAAAGAAAAACATATACATACAAAAATAAAATTAAATACAATGAAAGGATAGAATTAACTATAAAAATTAATAAAGACTTAAAAAAAGAGTTGATAAAATAAGAAATAAGTTGAGATGGAAGAAAGGGGAAAAATTAAAATTGAAAGACTAAAGCATTGTGAGAAAAAAAACTCATGAATTCTGTATACTCTTTTCCCTTAGCACTGGAGTTTTACAGTTGTCATTGATGGGTAAACTTGGTCTTAGCTGGATGTTCTTATTGATCTTCTCCGGGAGGGGCCTGTTGTTCTGATCCCCGGGGCAGAAATGCACCAAGGGGCCAGGCTAAGTAACCTAGTCCAGATCGCTCTGTGTGACTTTTGTTCCCTAAAGGCTTTCTGCACTGCTTTAGAGGATGAGAATGAAAATGGCAGTCTCCCAATCTCCGGCCCTTGGAGCCAAAAGCTCACTGCCCTCACTCCTCAGTGCACCCATCCTCAAGGAAAAGCAGTCATTACTCCTGTCTCCCTGGTGTCCATCTACTCTCTGTGCTCACCCAACCGGTGACCAAGCATTTTTATCTAGGCATGTGACCCCGTTTCAAGTCTCCAGACCCTGTAGACTCCTGTGGCATGCACCCGTGCTTCCTCCTGGGGGAGAAAGGGAGTTCTTGCCTTGGTTCTTAGGCTTGCTGGGTCCCTGATCAGAGAGCAGTTGCCCGACCTTGCCGGTTTGCAGTTTATGGCAACCCCAAGCTGAAAGCCCACGCCTGGGCTCACTAATTGCAGCTGGGTTCCCCACTCTGATATTTGGGAACTCTGCTGCACTCAGGTATGCCCAGTCTGCTGGTGACCTCGGGGATCCTGAGACCATGCTGTCCCACCTAGGATTCTGCCCCACTGCACTGCCTGAGCACCTTTCAGGCAGGGACGTTCCCAACCAGAACAGACTTCTAAAAGTTTCCATTTTGTGCTCCACTGCTTATTACTTTTCAGTATCCAGCTGATGGAGGCCCCCTCCCCCTGCAGTTTATCTTCCAATATGTCACTCAGATTCACTTCTCCGAACCTCCTACCATGCAGAAAGTGGTCACTTTTCTATTTGTAGTATTATAGCAGTTCTTTTTTTAGATCTCCAGTCAAGTTCATAGTGTTCAGAATGGTTTGATAGCTAGCTAGCTGAATTCCAGGGACTAGACAAAACTAGCATCCCCTACTCTTTGCCATCTTCCTTCCTCTCTCCCAAAACTTCTTTTCCCAAAAGAAAGCTCTATACTCTTTATTTATTTATTTGCTGAATAAAGCATGAAGATCCAGCATAAATTCATTATCTTCTTATACCTCATCTGGCTTATATGTGAATTACAGATTTAATTATATCTACCATTACTTTCAATTTCCCAATCTAGCATTAAATTCTCATAATAAAATAGTTTGAAAAGCAGAATTGCTGAGTCTGGATAATGTTTAAGGGATCTGGCTTATATTGTCCCTTTGTGGTATTGTGGTTTTCTCTCCTAGTATGCTTTGTTATAAAAGGAAGAATGTATATATATTTACTTTGAAGGGAATATATAATTTATAGAAATTCAGATCCCTTTTCTCTTTCCAGATATTAACATAAAAATTTAGGCTCCTTTTAGTGTAGGGTTACTTAGAGCATACTCCCCACATCCTCCCTGATTACATGCATTCTTTTATTAAAGAATATTTATTGAATATTTACTCTGTGCCAGACACTGAGATAGGCACTAGGAATATAAAGATGATTAAGACATGTATTTGTAGTAGAAACTTGTAAGCAACTTAAACATCTGTCAGGAGGGTACTGGTTAAATAAAGTACAGCACATTCAATAGTAGACTATTACTTAGCTGCTAAAAATAATGAAGTTCATTTATACTGATATGGTACAATCTCAAAGCTTTGTTCAGGGACAAAATATAGGGGAATGTCTATAATATATGACCACCTGCATAACAAAAAAATATGTATACATCTGTGTACACACACACACACACACACACACACACACACACCTGTTGGACTAGGTTGTGGAAAAATTCAGGAGAAACTATAATAAGGGCTTAGGAAAAAATTGGATGCCTGGAGGACAAGGGTAGAGGAGGGAAACTTATTTCTCGTTGTATACTTTTCTGAGCCTTCTGTATTTGAACTATATTCATTAACTCCCTATTCAAAAATAACAAATTTTAGAAGAAAAAGGTAGTCCCACCCTCAGAAACCTTAGTGTATAGGACAGACAGATATGTAAGAAATAATATAATAATAAATACAATATATATTGTGCATTACAGTAAAATATGTACCTGAAAGAAGGGAGAAGTCATTTTTATCTAGAGTAGCAATGGATGGGAGATCAGGGAGTCCTTCGTTACTTGAGGAGTAGTAACAGATTAAGGGTTGACTGGTTTTTCCCTGATACTCTGAGGAGGAACAGCAGCAACGCAGTTATAAATAGAAGACATAAACATCTCCTGGAACCTGTTAAACTTATGTTTACTACTACAGAACCCAGTGCTAATTCTTGGTATATCTGCCAGCTCCAATTCACCAGCACTTGAACTATATATACATTTCTGACCTTTCCTTCCTCCTTCAATCTCTTCCTCCCTCCCTCTCTCTCCTGGTCTACCCCTTTCCCTCTTTTTTCCTCTCCCTCTCTCCCTCTTTCTCTCTTTTTTGTAGTAAGAGAAGGGTATGTATATCAACAAGTTATGATTCAGTAACAATTACATTAATTTTTTTTATTCGGCAAAGTTGTAAGTAAATCCACACTGAAAGAAATACCAGATATTGCCTAGAATTGTGTGCTAGCTCACATGTCCAGTAATATACCTATTGTCTGGGCATGCTCACATGAACAGTCTTCCCATAGGTGGCAGAGTTACTTCTTTTGAATGGAGCCAATCCGTTACTTAGAAGTGACAGTGGAAAATGTGCTGTGGATGAGGCCAAAGATTCATGTATGAAGCGTCTCCTTGATAAATATATTCCTAAACAGCAAAAACATCTCCTTACATCAGGTAAGATTAAACTGTTCTGTTATATCTGTTTATCATATTCATAGAGAGTTACAGAAATTGAATTTAGAATTATAGAAAGTAAGTTTCGTTTCCTTCTTAGTTTTGAGAAAATCCAACCAGTGGTGTCCTTGCTCCATTCCTTTAATGAAGCACACTGACTTGTTTGCAAGTACACATAATGGAAGAATTCTAAAAGAACAAAGAGAACAAAGAGAGATCATATCAAATGTACTCTTTCCCTAGTTGTGCATTGCAAACAGTTAAGAAAACTTCTATAAAGTTTTTTTTTTTTTTTCCCCTGACAGTTTTTTGGCTGAATAACCTGATATGATGTAAATTGTATTTGGCTGTATCTTTTTTGATGAGTATGGCCAGGATTGTTTATATCTATTTCTATTCCCAAACAGTCTTTTCTTATGGCTGTATTTTTACCCTGTCATCCATTACAGTGGTAAAAATTAAACTACAAAAGAACTTGATTTATGGTTGTCAATAAGAAGAATTTACATGCATGGCACTTTCTTTATATTCTCCTTAATCTGTTAGATTTTTTGGTAAGATCACAACATTCTTCTGTTCAGAACCCTGCAGCGGCTCTCCATTTAATCTAGAAGAAATGTCAGTATCCTTACAGTGGCCTACAGGCCCCTGTTTTAGCTGGCCACCCTAATTAATTTCTTCTCCTACCATTCTCTATCTCTGTCACTAGACTTCAGTAACACTGGCCTCCTTGCTGTTCCTCAGGTGGGCCTCCCCCACCTCCTTCAAGTCTTAGTTCAAATGTGATCTTCTCAGGGAGGCTTAGACCATCCTATTTAATACTGCAACCTGCTTCCTTCCTACCCTCACTGTATTAGTTATCTATCACTATGCAATAATTACCCGAAGTTTATCATCTTAAAACAACAAACATTTATTATCTCTCAGAGTCTCTGAGGATTAGAAGTCTGGAAACCTTTAAAGTGAGTAACCATTCTGGATTAGGGTCTCTTATGGGTTGCAGGCAAGTTCTTAGTGAGGGATGGTCATCCTGAGGCTCAGTTAGGACAGGAAAATCCACTTTCAAGCTCACTCGAGTGGTTCTTGGCAGGCCTCATTTCCTCAGTGCTTGCTAGCTGGAGGCTTCAGTTGCTTGCTACATGAGCTTTTTCCACAGGTCTGCTGACAGCCTGACTCAGAGGAAGTGATCAAGAGAGAGAATCCACCCAAGACAGAGGCTTCAAGCTTTCTGTAACTTAGTCTTGGAAGTGATACACAACCAGTTCTGCCACATTCTATTCGTTATAAGCACCTTTTGAAAGGAATAGTATCAAAAAATTTATGAACATATCTTTCAAACTGCCACACTCATTCCAATCCCTCTTGCCCTACTCTATTCTATTGATCCTTTCCCCACAGCACTTAACACCTTCTAACACATTGGACAATTTGTTTATTTTTTATTTTCAGTCTTTCTTCAAGAGTCTAAGCTCAATGAAGGAAAGGATCTTTATTTAGTGTGGTGATGAGTACTAAAATGCCTTATCTGCAGTAGACATTAGTAAATATTTGTTGAATAAATAGTGTGTTAGTCCTTTTAAACACAACAAGCAAATTCTTTACCTTCAAGAGATGTGTATGTGCCTCATTCACTTTCATTAAGCTATATGTGTTTTTTAAAGATTTTATTTACTTACTTGAGAGAGAGAGAGCACGAGGGAGAGCAGAGGGAGAGGGAGAAGCAAACTCACTGCTGAGCAGGGAGCCAGGCATGGGGCTTGATCCCAGGGCCCTGGGATTATGACCTGAACTGAAGGAATGTGCCCAACTGACTGAGCCACCCAGGCACTCCATTAAACTATATTTTAATAAAATTTTCCCTAAAGAAGTAACTCTTTGAATACTATTGACTAAGGACTAAGACTTGGATTAAAACACCCTACTGTATAATAAAGAAATAACATCACTGATAATTGAAGGCCACCAAGAGGTAATTAATGGTTCTTTAGAACAAAAGACTTCTTGCCCTTCTAGCCCAATCTCATCAGAAAATTAAAGGGACAGACTATGCCTTTTTGAGGCCAGGTCTATAAAAGCACATTGAGATGGATTATTATATTCATATTTATATAAACTGTACAGATTATTGCATTCATATTTACATTTCAAGCTATATGGAAAATTGCAAATATTCAGTTGGAAGCAAAAGTATGTGTATTTATACATTTTTGTTTTGATAATCTGCTTAATTGCTTGACTTCTCTATTTCATGGTAGCATGCATGGTTTTGTTCTGCTGAGAGTGCTTTCTCCAGCATTTTAGCTCTTTCTCCAAATCTAGAATCTCACGTTCAACAGTGCCCACTTCTGACCTATACTTACCCAAGGGAATTTCATTCATGGAAGGAATCCCAAGCCTTTCTTCTTTGGAGATAGCTCCCACTCTTCTTTAGGGAGGCATTTTACCAAGGTGGGCTGTATTATGCTTCATTGGGTGGTTTGAATATTTCTTAAGTTAATTATCGGTTTACTTAATATAAATGAAAAAATTAGTTTACTTAAAGAATATCAAACAGTATTTGCTTTTAAATTTCAGTTGAAGATCTTTTAATTATGGGAATGATGAATAAAGGACTTTTCCTCATGCAATGTATTTTTGGTGCTTTTCTGTTGTAGAATATAATACATCTACTTTGGTATACAACAGTTCATTCTTACTAACTTACTAACTTACCAACTTTATAAGTTAGTAAGAAATTGTAAGCAATTTCTTACTAACTTACTAACTAACTGAAAAGAATTACAGCAACATCACTAAAATTCACCACCTCAGAATTTATATCTGTGTAGTTTTTTTTTTTTTTAAGTTGGTTATACTAGGGCATAATAACTTTGAAAACTGAGATGGGCATTAAGGAAGGCACTTGATGTAATGAGCACTGGGTGTTATATACAACTGATGAATAACTGTACTCTACATCTGAAACTAATGATACACTGTATTTACTTAATTGAATTTGAATAAAATAAGATGAAAATTAAAGAAAAAAGGTTAGTTGGAAGATGCTTTCTATACAGGAGTAAAACAAAAACAAAAACCCAAAAAGCAAAAATAAAAACAAAAGCAAAGTAAGAAGGGATAAAAGCCCCTTTCTTGCTTCTAGATTCTCTTAGGAATTATGCCCCAAATGGTGGTTCCTGTAGAACCAGAAGCAGGTTTCTGTAGAACCAGAAAAAGGTTTCTGCTCTTTTATTTAAAAGACTTTTATTTATTTTTGTATTTTTAAGATTGTATTTATTTGAGAGAGAGAGAGACAAGCGATAGCAAGAGAGAGCAAGAGCATAGGAGAGGGAGAATCAGTCTTCCCGCTGAGCAGGGAGCCAGAAGCAGGACTTGACCCCAGGACCCTGGGGTCATGACCTGAGATGAAGACAAGACACTTAACTGACTGAGCACTCAGGTGCCCCCTGTTCTTTTATTTAAGAACCAAAGTTAGGAGAAGGCACACAGTCCTTTTTGCTCTTGAAAAATAATAATAACAAAATTAATAATGGAGCACTCTCTTTGTGCCAGGAAGTCCTCTGAACTTTTTACGTGGATTATCTTATTTAATCCTTGAAACAATTCTATAAGATAAAGACTGTTAATACTTTCATTTTATGGAGCTGAGGCAGAGGCGTTAAGAAACTTAACCCAGGGTCACCCAGCTGCTAAGCAAATGAGTGGAAATAGAAACTAAGGAGTAGGCTTCAGAGACTGTGCTCCATTGAAGGACATTCTATGAGTCAGCCCTCCTGCATGAGGTGAATAGGTGAATGTCAGGCCTCATTGTGTACATTATAATTTGATTGCTGTCATGAAAATTATTCCCAAGAAATAAAATGTTCTTTTTCCCAGTTATATCGCTGTTAAAATATTTTTACATTTCTAGTTCATAATGTATTTAAAGAATTTTGTGTTTTTTACATATCACATCTAAGATGTTCATTCATTTATTCCTCCCTCTATTAAATAATCATTGAATACCTCCTATGTACAAGGCACTGTTTCTAGGTTTTTATCTTTTGTGGTCAAATGCATATGTAGGTAACTAATTGTACCTCTACTATTTAAAAGAGACACTAAAGTACTTTTCTTTTATTATCAACCTAGGTATATTTTATTCAGAACATCTTTTTTGTCTTACACATTCTCAAGAATAGCCTTTTCCATGCATGTATGTTTCACTTTTAAGAGAGTGAAGCATTAATCCATACTAGAACCTTAATAAACTGACATATTAGGAAATGATAATCCAGTTAATTATAAAAGAATCTTTTGCCTTATTAAAGTAGTTTGTAGCAGTTGTATATCTGGATATATCTGTGGCGAATGTTAAAATAGTGAGTTTATTGCCAGTCTTTAGTTTTTGTTGGAGCATATTGCTTTTCCTATAGAAGTGTTTTCAGGTTTCTCAAGATAGTATTGGGCTTCTAAAACATAGGAAAGTTACCAATTATAGGAATGTTATATGTGCCAATTTGAATGGAAAACGTTTGCATAATTTCACTTATTTCTCTGGTTTTCTCATGGCAGAGGACTGGTGGGTTTTAGAAATCTAGAGTCTGATCATTGGAGGCTATTTTCTCTGATTTTCTCCTTTTGTTTATAGCTCAAAAGAACAGTACCGGTCCATTAGACATAGAGGATACATACCAGCAAAAGGTATAGCTCTGTTTAGTAATAAACATGTTTATGGAATGAACCTGCTGCTTATTTTATGGATTATCAGAGTGGAAAGAAAGATGGTTGAAGCATTCATCAGGAACAGTGACTTCACCTTTGCTTTTAAGAAACTTTGGAATAATTACATGAGGATCAGAGGGTTCTGGGCTGTTAGTTTGTGAAGCAATTGAGTAAATATAGCTTATCTTGGCACACTGATGTATCAGTAGCCATTTCCTTTGTCCTCCTCTTCATGGAGCCATGAGGTTTATCAACCATGTCGAATTTCCTCTGGCCTAAGCACAGTACAAGAGCCAAAGGTGTTGATCCTTTCCTTCAAATTTATATGGTGGGCAGTTACTCTTCATCTGGTGCTTGGGTTGTGGTGAGTGAGAGGAAGCGGTCTCTCTGTTTTCATCTTCAGCCCACAATGATTTTTTCATGTGGATCTGTTTGGGAGGATGTCTATCTTGTTTTTTGTTTTTTGTTTTTTTTAATCTGAATCTGTGGGGGTAGGCCCCAGGGATTTGTATATATTTTTTTAAAGATTTTATTTATTTGTCAGAGAGAGAGAGACAGCGCGGGCGAGCACAGGCAGACAGAGCGGCAGGCAGAGGCAGAGGGAGAAGCAGGCTTCCCGCCAAGCTAGGAGCCCGATGTGGGACTCGATCCCAGGACACTGGGATCATGACCTGAGCCCAAGGCAGCTGCTTAACCAACTGAGCCACCCAGGCGTCCCGTCTGTCTTGTTTTTAAGTCCCCACTTCTGCTGCCCTACCTATAGTCTGTCACAGATACTAAATGAAAGAACTCTCTTAATCTAGCTCTGTCTATACAACAATGAGAAGATGAGATTGTTTCTAAAGCATTCTTCTTTGATTTTGCTTAAAGCCCAGAAAAATTAAGTAGATTAAATTTTTTTATTATGCTTTTTAGGATACTGCTAAACAAATTAAAATATGAAGCAGAAAATACACATTAGCATACATAATGAGTCTTAGTCTACTACATTTGTCTTTTTCTGTTAGTCTTCTTCTTTGAAATATCAGTTGTACATATCCCATCAGGCCCTGTGGTTAGATCAAATCATATAATTGAATGAAGTAATGGTTTGATTAATCAGCAATGCTTAATTAATTGAGTATAGAACCACAGCTGAAAATTAAAGCTAACTTTTTGTTTTTTTCTTTAGAAACCAAAATTCTGTTCTAAAAATCTCATTGGGTTTGTTTGTGATGAAAATTCCAACAGACAGAAGTCAGAACTTGTAAAAGTTAATGAAGGAAGCAAAGAGGGTTTATTTATAAATAAAGATGTATATGAACTTTACCAAAAAGATTCCAAAGACACAAAATTTGTTAACTCTAAGCATAAACAATCAGCACTTCACCAAATATACTCTACTACGGGACTCCGAAAGAAGAGTCTTCAGAGTGTCAAAGGTCCTAACACAAATGTGTCTACTGATAAAGGAAGAAGAAACACACGACATAAAAGAACTCAAGTGGATGATGCAAAACAAGAAATATGCAGTCCAAGAAAGACAATAGCTCTTTCTTCTTTCAGAAGAAGAAACAGATTGGTTACTGGTCAGCAAGATGATCTCCAAACCTTTGATGACCTTCCAGAAGAGTCACATAAACTTTTTAGCCCAGCTCTGTCAAGCCTGAAAAATGGATTAGGTAACAGTATTGAGGCTTGTTCAATTCCCAAAGAGACACATGCCCAGGACCTGGATTTATCAGATAATCAAGAAATAAAATTCTTAGAATCCACTGACCAAGAGGAAGCTGCTCTTTTCTCAGGACTTGGCTTACAGAAAGAAATCAAGTTACCACTTGTTACTACAGATCAGCAGCCTCACTGTCATCCAGAACAACAGCGCATTAGCCCTCATAAATCTCCTGAAAACAGTAATTCAGGTCAGAAAGGTGAGAGCCTTAAGAAGTGGGAAAATTCTTTTGCATCCTTGATAAAGGAAAATTTTAATAATGATGATGATGATTGCTTTACCTCTGAGAAGACTGTAGCATGTAAAAGAGTGGTATGTTCTACAGGTTGCAAAAACCATTTTAACTATGATGAGAATATAATAACAAATACAGAAGAAATGGATTTTCAACAGTTTTTCCCTTCTGAAGACCATTTTTCACAGGCAAATGAGTTGAAAGCCTGCAGTCTAATACTTCTACATCAGGAAGCTGTTAATCTTTCTGATTCAGAAAAAACAATAGGTCCTGAACAACATGTTGCAAATTATGAACAATGCACCTGTGAAACTTCTTTTGATCACTCACATGGCAGTCCTGAGCATACTTTCCTAGCTTGTCCAAGAACATTTTCAACAAAGGAAGCTTCAAAGTTGACTAGTCATGTGAAGCTATTCAAAAGGCCTCAAGATTTTAGCTCTAGAGCACCAACTCCTTTAATGGATCAAACAGATATACATATTGTGGGAAAGGTAAATGAAGGAGAAGACCCTAAAAGGAATTACAGTGATGAAAGCCAGAAAACAAGTTCTTCAAATGGGCCTTTATCCACAGTTGTTAATTCTCAAGTAATAGAAACAACTACAGTTGAAAAAAGGAAACAAGATCTTCCAGAGAGCAAAACCATACATGATACAGTTTTTTATTCCACTGACAATATCAGTAAGGAATTGACCAATATCTCACAACTTAGACAGAAAGAAGAAAAGGAAATTTCTCATAAACCAGGTATTGGTAGTATTGCTTGCTTTGTACACACCTGTAGATTTACTTATTTTATAGAAATTTCTAACTGAATCCCACTGAACTAGCTGAACTGACAAGAATGAGGACATGTGGACTATATAATTTAGGGATACTGTTAGTTAAGTAATATTGTTGACTTTGAAAATCAAACTGTTATTATCAGAGGTTGTTGCTAAATTGATATTGACAGAATAAGCAGTATTTCTATCAATTTTTATGTTTTATGTTTTTTAATCTATTTTTTATATTTTTCTTTTTAATATGGCACTTATTTAGTATCCGTTAACCTAACATTTCCATAGCAGATAACTGTTAACTCTGTTGATTTCAGTGATTCACAGTATTCCCATCAGAATTGCATCCAGCAAACTTTATTATATAAAAACATTTTTTAAACATTTTATTTTTAAGTAATCTCTATACCCACCAGGGCTCTAACTCACAACTCCAAGAAGGAGAATCATACGCTCTACCGACTGATGCAGCAAGGTGCCCCCAAAATCATTTTAAAGGGTTTCATTTCCTTAAAAAATAAATAAATAAAAATAAAATAAAAAATCAGTCCAGCTAGGAATAGAAACTTAGAAGAGTTATGAGGCCAGACTCTTTTCTAATCATGTAACCAGTAAGAAGAAGTGCAGCACTGAGGTTGCAAAATGTTTGTTTTTCAGATGAGGAATTAACTAATAATATCAATGGAGATGAAACCACTATGAGAAATGGTGAGAAAAAAGAAAAAACAGATTCTGAAATTTGCACATCTAATATCCAAGAACACAAAAAAGTTCAGAATTTCAGAAAAAGGCAAAAGTTCTTGAAAGGTACCTGCAGTCAAGGTTTGTATTCCTATACCTGTATAGGTAAAAGTTGACATGATCACACCCAGCAGTGCACTGTACTTCAGGAACTTTCTAAACTCTCAGATTTACTATTGGTTCTTCTCATTCACTAACATAAGATTATTTCAGCTTTTTTTTTTTTAGATTGTTTTATTATAAAGTACCACATAAGAATCCATTAGTCGTCAGTACATTCTTGTCATGTTTCTGCCTATGACTTCTAATTTTAAATGTTAGGGTAGGTAAGATAAACAGAGAGACAGCAAGAATTTTGAATGGGGGCAATGCATCTGAATTATGCCAGATCCATTAGATATTTCCATTGAGCCCTTTCACCATAAGGCAAATTAAAGAATGGTCACTGGTTTCTTATTGTCAGATGAATGAACTGAGCATGTTTGGCAATATGGACAAGTTAACCATCCTTTGACAGTTCTTGGAGCTAGTTCTGTGGTGAACAGTAGGCGAGGTCAGGCCACTTCAGGTTAAATAGTAAACACTGAAAGGTTTATTTATCTATTGTCTGTTAAGAGGTAGGAAGGACACTGGATTAGGCATTCTCTGTGAATCTTCACCCGTTGTCCCCCTCTCATGTAATCTAAAGCCCTTCTTATACATCCCTCCTGTAGTGGGTTGAATAGTGGCTCTCCAGCACATGTCCATGTCTTAATCCCTGGAACCTGTGATAATATCTTATATAAAAGAGTGAATTTTACCTAAATAGAAAAAGAATCTCTGCAGATGTAATTAAGGATCTTGAGTTTCCAGAGAGTAAAAAAAAAAATCACATACAAAGTAACTGAAAGCTAAGTATGCCTTAGTAGCATTATACTTTATTAATAATGTTGATGCCAGTTATTAAATATTATCAATTAATATTTATTAATTTGTTAATGAAGTATGATGCTATTAAGAAGTATTCAGCGTTAACCACAGTGGACTTTATGAAGAAGTTTTTTGTGAAGTTAATGTGAGTTCTGTTCGTTTCTTTTCCAGTTTTTTCCAGATTTTATTTTAAAATTTCAGTTATGTGCTATAGAAATTTATGATGACAGTAAAATGGAACAGTTTTTGAGTTTTTGCCCCAAAATGTTTTTCATGTGCCTATATTCTTTGCTACAACACACCATGAGCTAGGTGAGAAGATTTGTACCATTCACAGTAACAATTTTTGGAGAGATTTTTCCAAACTACAAGTCTACTTGCAAACTACAGGTCTGCTGTTTTGGATATTACATAATTTTAAAATATATTCTCTATAAATGTATATATAACATTATATATAATATGTCTTTATTCTTCAAATAAAGAATTTCTAAGTGCAAATTTGTAAGAGCAGTATGATTTTCTCTAGATGTCAGTGGCAGACATGAAGCTGTCAGTGTTCCCTGTGATTCACATAACCAAAGAATCCATCTTATAGAGAGTAATTCTCTGAACTTTATATCTCTTGCCCTGAGACTATGTGCCTAGTTCCTAGCTTTAGGAAATAGAACAGGGAGCGCGTCTTAAGGTTTAAGGCAGTGGTTCTCAAACCATATTTTGCATCGGATTCACCTGGAAAGCTTGTTAAAATACAGATTGCTGGGCTCTGTTCCCAGAAAGTCTAATCATTAGGTATATTATCTATTAGTGTATTACACATTTATAAACTTGGCAGTTTAAAACAACACACATTTTTTATCTTACAGTTTCTGTAGATCAGGAATTGGCCATGGCTTAGGTAGGTCTTCTGCTCAGGATGTTTCATAGACTACAGTCAAGGTATTGGCCAAGACTGGGGTCTCATCTGAAGGCCCAACCAGGGAAGGATCCATTTTCAAGCTCACGTGGTTATTGTCAGAACTCAGTTCCTTGAGGGTTGTAGCCAGCTTGTGGTCATCCTCCATTTCTTCCTTCATGAGCTTCTCCAGTGTATCCTCTTGGTTCTTCAAAACATGCAAGCTAAAGGTGATAGAGCAACTTTGCTAGCAAGATAGAAGATGTTACAGTTTCTTACAACCTAATCAAGGAAGTGAAATACCCTCAATATTGAAGCATTCTATTGGTTAGAAGCAAATTATTCAAGAGGAGTGGATAATACAAGGCCATAAATACCAGGAGATGGGGATCATTAGGAGTTACCTTAAAATCTGTCCTCTACAGTAGGCTTGTGGGGTGGGCTGGAGAATTAGCATTTCTAACAAGTTTCCCAGGTGATACTGATACTGCTAATCTGGGACTACATTTGAGGACTACTGGTTTAATGAATATTCTTTTCTATTTCATCACTCTAATCCTCTACTTTGCCTTCCTTGTGTCTCACTCTCAAGCTTCTCTGATGTAGTTTCTACAGAAAATAAATCTCTAGTTTCCTGGCTTGGGGATGGGGACCTTGGGTGAGAGGAATGGTTGCCAGACATTCAGGGTTAGGGAAGGGAACTAGTCCCAACTTCTGTGTATATACTTTTAGTCAATCTTCATGTTTCTAGCCCAGTTCAACGCACACTGCCTTTCACCATACTTGATGCCCCCAAGTGCTGGGTTTAGATGGGCTCTCTCCCTAATTCTTTTTGCAGGCATTTGGGTGAGGCATTTCCCCCACTTCACGAAGTTGGTTAACCCTTCTCCAGCAGTGATTTTCCAGTTACCAAAAAGTTGTTGAAGTCTTTGTCCTCTATTTTTTCCTTTTCTATTTTCCTTTTATGGTATTAAAAAAAAAATCTTTTACTATCATTTTAGCACGGTTTGGGGAGGAAATTGAGGGGAAAACATAGTCAGGTTTTTTTGTTAGTTTGGTTTTGATTTTTTTTTTTTAAAGATTTTATTTATTTGACAGAGAGAGATCACAAGTAGGCAGAGAGGCAGGCAGAGAGAGAGGAAGGGAAGCAGGCTCCCTGCTGAGCAGAGAGCCCGATACCCTGAGATCATGACCTGAGCCGAAGGCAGCAGCTTAACCCACTGAGCCACCCAGGTGCCCCGGTTTTGATTTTTTTTAATCTCCGACTTAAGTCTCTGTAACTTGCAGTGCAAGGAGAAGATTTTTTTAAAAATCTTCGGATAATGATGTTGTACTGCATGCTTTTTTGAAAGAAAAAGTAATCCATTGGGCCATGCTCTGGGTTTTGGTGTCTTTTGTGATCAGAAACACACTCACTGGGTTAGAGAAGAGTTATAGAAAGAGGAGTTTTATAAAATTATAATTTGTTTTAAGAAAAATTTTTTCCATTGTTAAAGGACTACTGAGGGCAAAATGAGGGTAGAGCTGAAGGAAGTTTATTTGTTTTAATCAAGCTTATGATAGAGTGATTAAACAGCTGTTAGAATGAATACAAACTAATATGCTTAGATGCTCTACATTCCTTCACAAGTTAGATTTTTAAACAGTAATAGCAATGATGATATTCATGTATGTTTGTGTAGTGCACCCTACTTAGGATATTTTGAGGAAGTTGCAGTGTATTTTCTGAGCTCCTTTGTAATGATCAGCATTTGACAGAAAAGAAACCTCAGCTTTACTTGGCAAATTTACAGAAGTGAAAACAGTTGGGATCAATAAGAGGAATGCCAAAGGAGAAAGCCGGCTTCATTTGGCTGCCAGAAGAGGAAATTTGTCTCTGGTGAAGGCTCTAATAGAATCTGGAGCAGATGTGAATCTAAAAGATAATGCAGGTTTGGATTCTTGAAATTTTAATTGTGTTTATAACTTGAAATTACTGAAATATACATTTTATCCACCCTACCCCAGTTCTCATGCTGGCTGCTAACTTTGAACTGTCTTTTTAATAATATATTATTTAGTTGAGTAGTTAAATTTATCTTGGTTTTCATCCATTGCTAAAATAACCTCCTCTGAAACAGTTTTTAACATACATGTGGGAGCATTCAGAGGACGTATACAGAATGGGGAGTAAAGAGAGCTTTATTTAGGTCTTTTTCTCAGAGATCTTAATACTAAACTGTCACTTTGGAGAGAGTGCCAGTTTTTTTTCCCATTTCCCTATCCCTTCTCTTTCTCCTCTCTTTTTAATTATTTGTTGTTTCTCTCTTTCCTTATTTTTATTTTCAGCCTCCATTTTTAAATTGATCTGACATTTTGCTCAAGCACAAAATAATCTTGTGTGAGGAGTTAACAGAGGGAAAAACTCAAAAGATTGATTTCAAGAATATTATGTCATTTTAAAGAGATATATGACAATGCAGGGATACAAATGGGGAAGCAAACTTGATCTTTCTCTATTTTAATATCTGAGTTGAGACAAATTGACATTAGTATTTACTCTAGTCCCTGTGAGTCTTCTGTTTTGGCACTTGGATCGATAAATATTTTTTATGAGATTGGTTTATCAAAATTGAAACATTTTGAGGCCATGGTTTTCAATATTATTTCTTGTCTGATACTTAATATATACATTTGAATCAACGTAGATATCCATTGTATTAGGGCAAATAAAATTAATAATGAAGTTATTACATGAATGTTGATATATAGGCAGCAGCTTCTGTTTTTTTTCTTTTTTCCTTTTTTAGGTTGGACACCACTTCATGAGGCATCTAGTGAGGGATCTAATGATATAATTGTAGAGTTGTTAACAGCTGGTGCTAATGTTAATTGTGAAAATCTAGACGGGATTGATCCCTTACATGATGCTGCTGCCAACAATCATTTAAAGGTACAGTGCACATCAGATTGGTTTCCTATTACTTTTTCTTAGAAAAATGAGTGAAGAAAATGAAGGTATTTTAAACTGAACACTAAAGTAATTCCTTAAAATAAATGATTTTTAAAACCTACTTAAAATTTTAAATGAAGATAGGATGTTGTGTATGAACTGGAAAATCATATTAACTAATGAATTGTTTTTCCATTGTCTTTTCCTCATAAAATTCATGTAACTCAGAATAAAATGAAATATCTCAGGGTAAATGTAGGCTATAAATCTAATACATTCCATTTTTAATTGTATTAAATGATTTGCTCTTGTGTGTAAAAGATCTAATTATAGTGATAATATATGTTGACAGATTTTTTTTTCTAACTCAGAATTTCTCCGTGGGTTTAAGTTTCAAAGGAATGGATAAAAATGCATGTTCCTGAGGGTTTGTTATATATTTTTCTCCTTTGTTTTTCTTTTTTCTTTACTTTTTTTTTTTTTTTAAGATTTTATTTATTTATTTGTCAGAGAGAGAGAGGGAGAGAGAGCAAGCACAGGCAGACAGAATGGCAGGCAGAGGCAGAGAGAGAAGCAGGCTCCCTGATGAGCAAGGAGCCCGATGTGGGACTCGATCCCAGGACGCTGGATCATGACCTGAGCCGAAGGCAGCTGCTCAACCAACTGAGCCACCCAGGCGTCCCTTTTCTCCTTTGTTTTTCTTAATCAGACAGCTGTCACAAAAGAAAATTACACAAAAGAAAATTATTTCAGTAACACTGAATTTCAAAACTAAACCTTAAAATCATTAAGATTTTTAAACTCCTTTTTGACAAATCTGAGCAGAAGACTTTTATCAATAGACAATGCAGACATCAGGAATAATCACTGGCTTTGAAAAAATAGTGAAGGAAACCAACACCAATAACAACAATATAAAACCAAAGTTCATATAAAAAATACCTTGAACCTCTCACTAACACCAATTTATCTGTCTCTAGATATTTTTAAGGCCCTGGTGATTTTTTGTTAATTTTATGAAAGCAGATCCCCACTGTTTTTAGCCTAAAGGTAGTCATGTAAAGGAATAGTATTGAATTTATGATTTGCAGCAATAAGAGATTAAACTAATGATTAAGAGTAATATCAGAAAAGGGCACCTGAGTGGCTCAGTTGGTTAAGCATCCAACTCTTGATCTCAGTTCAGGTCTTGATCTCAGGTTTGTGAATTCAGGCTTCACATTGGGCTCCATCCTGGGTGCGGCACCTACTTAAAAAATATATATATATTAATAATACCAGATGGGTAGACTAATGTCCAGAGTGGCTTCTTTTGACCAAAGAAGCTCTTTGGCCTTTATGATATTTAATTTTAAAAGAATAGATAAGGTCTGGTCATAAAATGGAAGAAGGCAAACAGGAAGAGTCATTAATTAGCTTACTGGTTATGTGTACAGGGAAAAGGCCACTTAAAGTGAAACCACTTAAATAAGGGCCAAAATTCTATAGTAGGTAAATCACATTTTTAGACATTATCCTGAAAAATGCAATATAAAACAAAGAAAATAAGGAGGTCCATAATACCACCCGTAAATTTGGGAATTGAATGGAAGGACTTACAGAACTCAGCATACAGTTGTGCTCATAGCTAAGATTCTTTTTTCTTTCTTTTTCTTTTTCTGTTTTTTTAGATTTTATTTATTTGAGAGAGCCTAAGTGGAGAGGCAGAGGGAGAGGGAGAAGCAGACTCCCTGCTGAGCAGGAGCCCATGCAGGGCTCCATCCAGAGACCCTGAGATCATGTCCTGAGCCAAAGGCAGATGCTTAACCAAATGAGCCACCCAAGCACCCCTCATGGCTAAGATTTGTTACAACAATGTAGTAAGGATATGCTGCTGACTCATTAGGAAAAAACACAGGTGGAATCTGAGGGTATTTAGTGAAGGCTTTATTATGCTCTCTTCCTCATGGGAGGTCACTCACAGCTTACCTTTCCCCCAGCAACAAAACTGTCATTTCTGTGTTTCCCCTCCAAGGAAGCTCATTAGAAACTCAGTTTCAAAGATTTATATTGGGACTGGTCATGTAAGCACTCTCTGCCTAGCACATACCAAGATTCCTGACTTCTAAGAGCACAAACCACATTGGTTGTGTAGAATGTTTAAGCAAAGAAAGTTACCATTATCAATAGGGAAAGTTTTCTACCAATGTAGGGTACTGTTTACCAGTCAGGTTCATTGATGTCAGCTAAAAGCCAGCCTTGCAAGCAGCCTCTCTAGATAGCAGACTCAAGGCCTGCTGTGTTAACTCTTTTCTAAGCAGTATTTTATTTAGGTTCTAATTGATACATATGCTAATTTCTAAAACAGGAAAAGAGTGAATAAAGTTTGTTTTCATGGCCCAACTTTTCTGGCAAAATTGTGTGACAGTACATAGGATATACTTCATCTCATACTTGATTTTTCTGTACCCCTACCTCAAGGAAGGTATTTTTGCAAACATTTTGAGAGGTATAACAAGTTTTTACTAGGTCTTCTATCAGTCCTTTTATATTCAAATTCTACGATATTTCTTTTTTTAGGTTAACAGTTTTACCTGTCAGTTTCTCATTCATCATGGCTTCACAGGTGCTTCAAGTATTTCTCCAACATTATTTTAATGTTTGACTTCAGGAAATTTTATATTTGTACCTTCGGACTTTGTAATCAATTTGTAGTGTGTTTACATTTTATTGTTAGCTGTTTACAACATAATTGACGAGTAATAAACCGAACAACAAAGCTGTTGACTTGATGGATAGGAAAGATTCTATGTTAGTAAGGAGGGAGGTTGTTTGGGTAACATTTTGTAAATGGTTTCCATGAGTGAGAATTTTCCTATTTTGAAGACTCTAGCTTCCTTTATAAAAATTTGGTAACTTGGGGCGCCTGGGTGGCTCAGTGGGTTAAAGCCTCTGCCTTTGGCTCAGGTCATGGTCTCAGGGTACTGGGATCAAGCCCCGCATCAGGCTCTCTGCTCAGCAGGGGGTCTACTTCCCCCCCCACCCCAACCACCCTCTGCCTGCTTCTCTGCCTACTTGTGATCTCTGTCTGTCAAATAAGTAAATAAAAATCTTTTTTAAAAAAAGAAAAAGAAAAAGAAATTTGGTAACTTGAAGGGACAGAGAAAATGATTACTCAGATACAAAGGACCTTCTGTAAAAATAAATGTCAAGAGCTAAAATTAACCCCAGAAGATGGGAGAGGGGAGCTTGGTTTAGTGGATAAAACACAGGACGAGGTATTAGAAAGCCCAAGTTCTAGGCCTAGTTCTGCTGCTTGAGAAAGATTATAAATATCTTTACCCCTGGAAAAGGAATGTGATTTAGAGCTGTGCTGCCCTGTACTGTAGCCATTAGCCACATGTGGCTATTTTAATTTAAATTATTTTAAATTAAATTAAAAAATCAGTTCTTCAGTTGCATTAGCCATATTTGAAGTACTCAATAGCTACATGTATCATACCGTATTGGAAGTGGCTATCACATTGGAAATGTAGATTAGAGTGCTTCCATTGTCACACAAAATTTTGTTGGACAAAATTGGTCTAGAGAAGGGATTGCTAAATACTTCTTGTAAAGAGCTAGATAATAAACAGTTTGGTTTTTCTGGGCCACACAGTCTCTGCTGTAGCTACTCAACTATTGTAGTGAAAAAGCAGTCATAGACAATGTGTAAATGAGTAAGTATGGCTATGTTCCAATAAAACTTTATTTATAAAATCAGGTAACTGACTGGATTTGGCCCATGGGCAGAGTTTGTTATTGCATAATCTAAAGAATCACTTAAGTCTCTTCACATAAGTATCAGTATAGACGAAGTTTGCATTTAGAGTAGACTCTCACATCAATATTGCCTTTATTTTAAGGAGAAATGTTTTATTTGAAAAGAAGGAGGTAGTATGTTTAAGGATATTTTCATTCCTTTGACACTGATATATTGCCAACATCTTTCCTTATATCTTCATTAATTCTCCTTCCATGTGAGAGTTCTTCTATCATTGGCTCATTTTATTTCTAATTTCCTCTCTTTTGTTTTTATTTGTTTATCTTGAGATAGAATATTGATAGATGAACTAGAAAGATTAAAAAGACAGCAGGAGAGAGGAGCGTAAGTAGCTCAGTGGGTTAAAGCCTCTGCCTTCAGCTCGGGTCATGATCCCAGGGTCCTGGGATTGAGCCCTACATCAGGCTCTCTGCTCCGTGGGGAACCTGTTTCCTTCTCTCTCTCTGCCTGCCTCTCTTTCTACTTGTGATCTCTGTCAAATAAATAAATAAAATCTTTAAAAAAAAAAAAAGATAGCAGGAAAGGTAAATATGTGGTATCATAGACCTAATCAATATCAATTCTATCATAGCCTATAAATTTAATTCTTAGATTTTTTTTTTTTACTCTTGCATTACTGCATGGAAATTTATTCAATCACCTATTTTTCTAACTCTTAACTTCTTTTTAAATCTTAATTTCTGTTTTAAGTTATTTTCCAAAATGGTCATGTATTTTATAAAAGAAGAGGATTAAAAGATAAGGAAAAGGAGAGTGAGAGGAAAAGATAGGGCAAAAGATAAAAAGTAGGCAGGGATGGACATCCACTTTTACACAAGAAAGAATAGAAAGGACAAGATATACCCTCCCATCTTAACAACTTGAAAGGTGAACAAAATACGTAAAATAGCAGTTTTGAATCAGTTGTGCAAAATGCAGCACAGGGCAGCAGTCCTGAGGGAAGGGAAGCAAATGAAATAAATCTTGTGGTTGCCTTACCATATGGACTAGAGGGAGTTTCCAGACAAGCGCAGAAAGAGAGAAAACAAACAGCCCTGTGGCCTCAAGTTCAGAAGACAGAATTTGGAGTTTAAAAGCCTCCAACAGGTAGAATTTACGGGGCAAAATACCAGAGAGAAAGGATCTGCATAAAGAGAACTCTCTAGAAATTTGAAGGAAAATCCCCTTGTTTCTTTGACTGATATACAAATACATTCAA